TAGTGCAATAGGCAGAAATAACATGTTTTCATAAAGTTTGGAAAACTGGTGCTTATTTAATTTTGCAGACAGTTTTAAGTTATTAAAATTTATTGCTGCATAAAGTTTGTTTGGAAAATTGGAGTTTATTTTGTCTTGGAGATAATGTAGTTAAAGTGTATAATTATATATCAAATTATACAAATCGAAAAGGTAATTTCCTCCATTACAACTTAAAAGAACTTAGACATTCAACAACACTTGCACAGTTACATTTTAATTGAAAATAACTGGGCAACTGTGTGTTTGAAACAAAGACTTCAGCCTATAAGCACATGGCTTAGAGGAAGGAAGTATGACAAAATACAATGCATATCTGCTAAAAGAACAAATATGAAATTAAAAAAAGAATTATAGTAAATTTATTCTTGATTTGATAGAATAATTACAAAAAACATTCTACTTTGATAATAATACTTACAGTGCAGTGAATTGTTTAATAAAATAAATACTGCTTGCCTACACAAAGTTTTCTGGGCAATATTAGCACAAACAGAATTATTTTGGCCTAATGTGTAATGTTGAATAAACATGTAATAAAGATAGATGTGTGGAATAGGCATTTTGCTGATTCAAAATAACAAACTGTTGTGTACAAAACAGTGACTGATTTTATACAAATGATAATCTTAACCTCCTCTACTGCTAACAAATGAAGCAACACAAGCTGTCAAGTTTATTGTTGCTTCTTACAGTGAGGATGCACACAAAGTATACATGTGTTTCATCACTTAAATTTCATTGTGTACATTCTGTTTACTACCATATGGTTAACTGCCTTCAATATAGTTGTGTTCGTATAAAATTGTAAACTCGATACCAAGAACTGATTACACGTAACTTAATCCTTTAACTACTAGTAATTTCAATAGTTATTATTATACTTAGCATTTTTTTCTGATTTATAATAAATCTTTGTAAAAGTGAATAGTCTAAACCAATGTTTCTCAAACTGGGGTCATGTTCATACTTTAATAAAAATATTTAAAAAAATACTACTTATAGGATAAAAAATACTTTTCATGAAATTACATTTATATGAAGTAAAAACATTTAATTTGGAATACCATTTTTCATGTACATAGAACTTATTTTTTTCAAAACAAAAAACCTTGAGAGCTTTGGGGTCTATGAAAATATATTAAGTGAAAAGGGGTCTTTGGGTTACTAAAATTTGAGAACTACCAATCTAAGCAATGTAAAACTCTTCTGAGGGTACTTAAAGACATTTATAAAAAACTTTTTATATAC